TGGTGGTTGATGAATCAAAGTCATTCCAGTCAGTTGGAGGAACTGTTTGGTTAATAGGAGCTACACTTTTGTCCATTTTATTTCATTCCGGGTGTAGATCACGATCAAATGCGATTTTCCCCATCATTACTAAACAGAGATCGAACCATGAAGCGGTATCGCTTCTCGCTCGGGTATACTTCCCATACCAACATGATTTATGAGTTTTCACGGTGTTGGTTCACGTTGTGTCAGATAGCTCTAGTTGTTGTGAGGTATGATTTGAGCAAACATGGATGGAAATTACCCCTCACTCCCGCCCGGAACAGTTCGTGTTCGCATATTTCATTGTCGCCACTGAAACGAGCGTTGGTGGCTTTTGAAGCGGATCATTACGTACGCAAACATCTGATCACCCATTCCCTTTCTACAGGCTATGTGATGGAAGTAGTCTATTTATTTGATCGTATTGAGGTCGATGAAAAGTTAGAACATAAACGTCTCGGTTTTCAAAGCGAATACTCTCTTATCCTTATCCCATCCTCGGAAAAATCCATCTTAGACTAACCAGGCCACTAAGCCAATAAATGACTATCAGTAGCTAAAACAAACGGTCGTCTCCTAGTACCTCCGGGACCTGCGTTGCTTCAGCCAGACAAAACATTTCGACAAAATCTGACAAGATCAATGAACAACACGTTGAATATCTCACCTACGTCTATGTTCATCATTTTTCAAGCTGTTTATCCTATTGGTTTGAAGGCAGTGCATCCAGAACACAGGTGTTCTTCCTAATATTTGGTGATTATGCGCCTGTCTGCAGCATTTCCGGTCGATACATCGACCGGATCAATGTCAGTGTCGGTTTGAGTTGAGTTTGTTCTAACTTTCTTGAGTTAACGTATGTCTATTTGATTTTGTCGATGTAGAACGCTTTTCTTCCCACCCTCCCGCAAAAAGAAAAGGCATTTGAAATTTTTCTGTAGTTACCTTCTCCTACGAGGTGGGATCTTTCAAAATAAGCCCCTCCTTTATGTGGTCACCAGCCCATCACCTCACACGGCTATTGCTTCACTCTAATGTTTTAAATTGTTGTCACTACCCGGACTATTGTTTCTGGGATCTCGGCAATTTCAACTCCCGTTCTGTTGATTCGCTATGGGAGTGATTCCTCTATTTGTCATTCACGTTTGATTATATCATAGAGAACGCACATTTAGAGTACACGTTTAAGAATCACTCGGTTGAGGTGTACCGGTTACACAGACCAGTTGAAGGAGAAGAACCGCAATATACAGACCACGTATTTCCGGGGTAATTTTCCCAACCCAGTGCAAATCTTGCCATTTCCTTATTTGACCTACACAGACTAGAAGATGAATCATTGAAAACCATTTTTCACCTCTGAATATGTTCTCGTGTCATAATGGGCATATTCCGGAATTTGAAATACAACCTGTTTGAATGTGGTCTGTTTATCCTACGCTTCAAGTTTATTCCGATCAGAACAACTCGGTGACGGTGAATCTATCTAAGGTATGCAACTGTCACGACAACCTAGGATTCGCTTTTTAGGGGGAGCAAATGTCTGGTGAGGCAATCGAATCACAACGGGTTTCTGTTCATTCACTGATCACACATCTACGTCTTACCTTTATGACAATATCTAATTGTATTTATTGGTTTACCTTAATTGTGGCGTTCGAAAATTCTAAAGAAGCAGGAAAAAAAGAAACAGAGCTTTTTCGTGCCTTGGATTACTCATACCCTGGGCTATTGTTGTAACATTGTCGCGGTAGATCGATCAGCAGCGCGACTGATCAGATTGAATTTAAAATCCGTCAGTCTGTCTCTCGTATGACGCATTCCCTCGTGACATGTGCGGCGGTTTCCTATTCTAATATGCCATTACACACACACACACACACACACACATTGTGCTGCGAATCAAACGAAGGCAATTTTTAAACTATGTGGTTCCCACGCGGTGTGTAAGTAATGCAATAGTTGTAGAAAGGTTACACAAACGAGGCCGTGAGAATGGAAGTTTTTTTGTCTTGTTGTTGTTAGACAAAGCCGGTTCTATCATTGACCTTGCACAATCTGCATGCATACGTGCATATGTGTGGTGGTGGTGGTGGTAGCATGTAGTTTTAAAGTCCTGGCTTTCATTTCCTCCGATCCGAGGTGGTTTCTTAAACGACGTGTGAGGCGATGGATGATACTGCATAAAATCGGGACAACATTTGTTATCCGAATCACAGGAATAGGTAAAAATTGTGGCGTTTGGACCTGTTTGTTCCCTATCATTTGAACGTGTCCAATCTCCCTGACTGGTGGTTGTGTATGTGTGTGTGTGCGGCGAGGAGGATCACTGGCTGATATCCGAATACTTCCGTCTATCCTCGGGAAATAACTCTTTTTTGTTACCGAAAATAAAATTAGAACCAATATTTATTCGATTTGATAAGAATGTAATAGCCATGTGCGTGGAACAAATGTGAAATTAAAAAATCAATTCACAGTCGTCTGTAGTCCGCGATAAGTGTTAGTCATGGCACACCACCCGGAGTTGGATATACTATAATTATTAATTTTCTTTATTTTTATTCAATAAATATACAATATACAGTATAATTCATTTTTAGGGCTAACGCTACGAGCTATCATTCGGCCTGAAGATATACAGGTATGGGGAAATAGATGGCACCAAGGGCAGCGGACCTGAGCTGGTGCTGGGAGTCGAACACACAACCTCAGGACCGATGTGATGATCTTGCCATTTGATCACCACCATCATCAGCACTGATTGTTCGCCATTTCTGAATCCGTACAAGGAACTCCTTCCTCGCTTTCGAAATACTCGGGCATTGTTTGTCTCTACTGCTTTGACTGTTGACAGGCAGCGATCGGTCAGACAGGGGTGGGGTCCTGGACAAAGTCAAGGGTTTCTGTGCTAAAAGACCATACTTTTGTGTTCCGTTATCGATTTGACCGTAGTGTATTCCCATTTGTTGATACCCAGGGGTCATCGCCTCCGTTTTTTTCGAATGGCACATCCGGTACAGTTTTGCACCCGCTCTAACCGTCAAGCAATTCCCCACCCTTCCGGGTGGTGGTGATGGGTTGTACGCTTAGTTGTATATTTAGTCCATTGTTCACTCGTACGCTCGTTTATCGATATTCGAATCCACAGAAGATAATCGTTGAATTTATCAAATATATTTCACTCGATAATCAATCCGATTTCGCTAGCTAGAGAGCGAGATTTCGAGTTCGCACGAGAGTGAGGTGGCGAACCTCGAGTCTTTGAACTGTGGGTATATGTATACACACACATATGCGTGCATACATATATCCATAAACGTGCGTTCACATGCTCTTAGGCGTACCAACTTATAATCAAATTGCGCAGTGATCAGTAAACAAACTATTTCACTGTAAACTACATCATACAAGATAGATCGTGGTCGTTCGCGCGCACACACACACACACACACACACACACACACAGAGTCCCACTGGCACGTTTTTGTAAAGGGTCAACCGCACAGTTCGTTCCGGGGCTCCACTTGGCCTATCGGCGTAAAATAGTACCCCAGCAGTGTAATTACCACCACCAGCACCAGCAACGACAACAATTACTACATCCAGCACAACACCAACGGAAAGCAGCAGCAGCATCCGCACCACCAACTTGAAATTCCGTTTTGTCTAATGATTGATTGTTCTTCGTATGTTTCATACGGTGTGTATGCGTATGTGAGCGTGGTCGTTCTCCATCATACATGATTTTGTATGATTGTAATGATGATAATAGGTCCTATATGCACATGAAAATATACGTGTGTTGTCCGACTTTCGAAACACTGTATCACACTCGTGAAATTGTCGTTGAATGACAAAATATTATCTAACCAGTCACACACACACACACGCATTGACAGCTGGGAGCCAGTGGACAGTTGGAGCTGAACGACAAGCACTGTACTTCAGTCAGTCGTAGCAGTGCCGGAGATAACGTTTCGAATGACAACCATTCATTCATTCGTGCATCGAATGTACCTCGTCAGCCAAACGACTTACTGAAAACACACAAGGAACTAATTGATTGATTCAATACTCTACTCCCGTCTGTTTGTACCAATGACCTAAATACTAAGATCCATTATCAGCGGATCGATCAGTTCAATTCATTCAGCCAGTAAGTAAGAGTAACCTTGAACTGTCGTACAGTAGTTTTGGTTATAGTCCTTTAGCCACTCCTTTGGATCAAGGAGTAATGGGAGAAGGTTGTGACACATTTCACAGTAAAGGTACGGAATACAGCTGAACTAAAGTTTTCCACTGCACCTCCGCAGTTGTTTACAACACTCAACCGTATCTAACTGGCCGCAGGTCCTCAGGTCCCCAACCCCGGGGGACTTAACGCAATCTGTGTGACCGAGTCCCCTGATCACGTTTTCCATATCCCGATGCCATATTTTCGTTTTGCACTTCCATCCATTCATCACTTACCTCGGCGAACATCGCACGCTGAGGAAGCACATCTGGTGAAATGGGTAATGCGTGTCCCAGTCATTTTAATCTGTGAAGGTCAAGCGCTTGCTCCGTTGCACTCGCGTGACCTCGGTCATTGTTTTTCCGCATTTCTCACCAGACTCGAGCAATGTGGTATAGGCATTGCTGTGTTCGAACAAGGATAGCCTGTCCTCATTGTGTTCCCATGACAGCTGTGTTCGATACTGCTATCTAGGTACCAATCTCCCCACTGCTCCTTCATCCGGGTAACGGGTAACCAAAAGACAGCAAGCAAAATCACCGCACGAAGGTGCATGGGCTAATGATTGTAAAAACTGAAATCTGAAACAGGAAAATCGGCCGGACAGCTGCAGCACACATTCGATCCTTCACGGATAGCCCAATAGCTCCGTGGCGTCAAAAATGTCTCAAGTGGACACATGGTAACCGAGCCTTCTGCATGATAGCCGAAACTTCATCCCTGATGCGTCCCTCAGATGAGATGTAGCTGTACACACAGCAAAGTTGATCTACTTTGTCTCCTCAGTTAGACTAAGGCTGGGAGCTGATTCAGCTCAGTCCCGTAGCACGATTTTATCATTTGAGATACAAACGCATAGCTGCATTAACACTCGCCGTCCAAAAGAGCTTGCAATTTAACTGGATCTTCACTCAGTAGTGNTTTCTGGAAACCAGTCTGCCGCCTGCCAATCGCGGAACTTTTTTCTTTTTATAAAGATTATTGTACCGTAATTTGTTTGTCACACAGTCTAGCCTCAGGTGTGTGTGAAATATATATAATACATACTGCCACCTGAGAGCATATCAATACCGCTGTCCTCGCACGAGGAAAGGGTTGTTTCCGGAATCATATCCATTACAAAGTTAAAGAGAAGCGGAGAGGAAGACGGAAACCCCGACCAGCACCGCTTTCCGTAGTGAACTCAGGAGGAAAAGAGTTGTAACCTCGAAAGGGGCTCCTGTTTTCCGTATTGATAGAATGCAGCAGAAAAATAAAATCCTTGGGTATATCCTTGAATGAGGGA